AAAGGATGTAATTTATAATAAAATATCACGTATTTTGATGTATAAGTGCACAGTGACCACTTTGGAAAACATAGGTCAAATAAAGGCCTATGATTAAGCTGACCTCCAAAAACCAATACATCGTCATTTGAGTCACACTCAGTTGAGTCCAGAAACAAGGGCCAACCCTGATGCACACCTTGGTCTGCAGTGCTCCTTTCCTGATGTTGCAGACCCTGAGGGGGCTTGCCAGGTTCTATGCTAGGCCTATCCCAGATGGCTCTTATCAGTCACTGTGTGTTAGGAGAATTGTTTGAATTTGCGTATCGGCCTAGGATGACCAAGAAACCCTAGGATCAAACCCACCAGAGCTATATTCACCCAGGAAAAAAATTCCAGAAGTGAAATAGAGTAATAGTGTTCCAGCTAATAAAAAACATGAACTGCCAAGGCTGAGGATGGATAAACGTAGAAACTAAACTCAAGCTCTACTGTGTGCCATGGACTCCACTGATTGCTAGAGTTATTGAGGTGATTAAGTGTTCAAAAGACAGACAATGACCCTACAATATGAGAAGTTATTTATTCATTCTGCAGTCACTGAATCTGTTTTTCAGGCACTGTGCTAGGGCTAGAGAGTCACCAACAGCCCTGTTCCCTCTCTTCACGGAGCTCGTATTTTAGTTGAGAAGACAGACAAGTGAGTCAAACAGGTAGTGGCCAATTGTCATAAGTGTTCTGAAGTTTTTTTTTTTTTTTTTTTTTTTTTTTTTTTATAGACCAAAATCAAGAGTAATAGGAGAGGGATTCACTTTTTAGGTAGGGTAAACTGGGAAGCCTTCTCTGAGAAAGGTGATAATTAAGCTAATACCTAAAAAATGGGAAGCTAGCCACGTGAGGAGAGGGTTAAGAACTTTCTAAGCAGAAAGAATAACATGTGCAAAGGCCTTGAAAAGGGGAAAAGTTCCCTTTTGGAAAAGGAGAAAGAAGGCCAGTGTGACTGGAGTCCCAATGAGATGGAGAGTTTTAGAGATAGCGAGGTGAGAGGGCTGCCCATGTGGGCCCATGATAGAAGGTGTTTGGATTTAGTTCTAAGTGCAAAGCAAGGGAGCGACGCAGCTTGCATTTTAAGGTCACTCTTGCTGCTGGGAGGAGAATGGGTCAGAGACAAAGAATGTGCAGAGTGCTTTGGGAATCCAGCAGAGAAAATGGCCCACTTTGCATGAAGGGTAGTAGAAGGGTTCAAAGAAGGGACATTTGAATTGGTTCTTCAAAGATAACAATAAAGTGGGGTATAGAAGAGACAGCAAGAAGACCAGCCAGGCTGAGGGAGAAGCAAAAGCAGGGCGGTCTGTGCTCCACACTGGGAAAATTGTAGCAATGGTATTCTGGTACCAGATCCTGCATCCCTGTTACTGTTCTGAAATGCAATTTGTAGGTGATATAATTCCCTTCATATGTAATTT